GAAAGTCCCCTGAGACCTCCAAGAGGGCTACTGGAAGACACCAGTGGGGCCATGGGATGCCATCCTCTACCTGAGGGGGGTGTGTGTGTGTGCGTGTGTGTGTGTGCACGCGCGCGCGCGCGCGCGCTCACACGTGCAAGCATGCACGCACACACCAGCTCTGTGGGGGCTGAGCAGAGAGGACACTGCACTGGAACAGGGCTGGGGGAAAGCTGCTCACAGAGGACCTTGAAGGGTCTTGAGGGACATGAGTGCCAGGGCAGCCACCCATGTGGCTGCAGGGGCCTAGCGAGGGAGGGACGCAACACACACACCAGGACCTCGTCCTGGCACAGGGAGCTGGTGGTGTCCTCCTCCATGACAGTCAGCCGCCCGGTAGGCGGCACCCGCAGGGACGTGGGGGAGGCTCTGCTTCCCCCCCCCCCCCCCGCCCCCCATACCTCTGTGGGAGGCTCCCGGGGCAGGCTGGCTCCGGTACCGCAGCACAACTCCGCCTTCCGGCCGCTCACGGCGCTGCCTCACCAGGAGCGTGTTGGCTTTGGAGCTGAAAGTCATGTCCGACAGTTTCCCGCACATCTTCCTCCACGTGAGCCTGCCCCAAAGCAGCAACATGTCCCCTAGGAAGTGACGGAGTGGTGAGGGTCCAGCACCCCCTGCTCTGGGTGGGCAGCACGACGGCCCTGGGGTAGACTGAGCTGTGGTCGGGTCCCAACCGTCCCACTTCCTGCCTTTGTGGCTCTAAGTCATCGGACACAGCCTCAGTTTCCTCATCTGCAGAACGGGGACAATCGCACGACAGGCTCGAGATGGCCATGATGATTATTGGGGGGGGGGGGGTGGAGAATGCACTTGGTGTATCCCGCTGGGAACGGGGCAGGCTGGAGTCCTGCTCACCAGTGCCCGAGGCCCCACACCAAGACCGGTGGTGCGTGCGGCCCCAGACGTACCAGTGCTGCAGTTGAGGGAACTCTCGAGGACTTGAACGGTCACCACCTCACCCAGGGGCCGCCCGATGGCCACTACACAGTCAGCCTGCCCTGGGCCTCGCATGTCAATGGTTCCTGTCGGCTCAAGGTGCTGCCGGCCACAGACGCCTGGAAAGGAGGCAGGAGCACAGGAGAACGGAGCTTCAGGGCGGGGCGTTCCCCGAAGGGAGGCCTGGGGTTTTCCACGCTGGGTAGGAGACTGAGAGGTAGGGTGGCTGACAGCCTCCTAGGCCCAGCTGGAAAAGCATTCTTAGGTCAGGGGAGGGGCTGCATGGGTGCAGGCAGGGCACAGAGCCGCTTCCGGATGCTCCAGTGAGAGGGAGGCAGTGTGGACAGCAGCACGTGGCCTTGCGTCCCACAGACCTGGGTCGGATCCTGTGAAACCTCAGGCTGAGGGTAAGGACAGCAAGCTTGCACTCGGCCAGCAGAAGCAAAGTGGAAGGAGAGGGCCAGCCTGGAGCCCCACCTCCCAAGGCCACGCCTTCAGCCCCCACCGCACCCAAGTGCTGCTTTGCAGGATGACCCCAGGAGGTCCCCACAAGGAGGCTGTCCCAGCTCTCCCAGCTGGGGACGGCTTTGCCCACCCTTCCCACAGCCAGCCAGGGCCCAGACAGAAAGTTGAAGGACATAACTGGACACAGCCGGGCTTTCCTGGGGCCCAGGCAGAAGCCCCTGAAGCCGGGGAGCTGGGGAGAGGAGGTGGGCCTGGGGCCGGGGCCGCTCCGGAGGAGCACCGGCAGTGGCTTCCTCGGGGGGCGCCGGGCTGGGGGTCCCCTGCCCAGCGCAGGGCCCAGCCCAGCAGCCCCGCACCGTGGCTGGCTTGGGCAAGTGCTGACAGAAGCGGGCTGGCACCGGTGCCTGGGACCCGGGTCCAAGGCAGTCAGCGTGCCGGTGCTGGATGCCGTCTCCGCAGGAGACAGAGCACTGCCGGGAGACAAAAGAGGGAGTTGAGGCTGACCTCGCCAGAGGGCGTCGAGGACAGCAGTGACTGCTGGCCAGGCACGATCTGATCTCATCTGTGCACAGCCCGGGGGGCGGGCACGCGTCTCCATTCCACAGGTGAGGAGACTGAGGCTCGGAGGGGTTACCTTGCCGGGTCACGGCACCAGCACCCCCCCTGCCCTCCTGCCCTGCGCTGCCCTCGTCTGAGCTCTCGTTTCCAGCAGGACCCGACGCCCAGAGTCCTTGTGCCCAACGCCGGCGGTGGCTGTCTGCTTTGCCTCCATCCCCCCCTCCCGACCGTGAGCGAGATCTTCCCGCAGGAGACCTAACCACATCTACCTTTGTCTTTCCACTACCTGGCGAGGTGACGGCGCCAGAAAGGCAAGGACGGAGACCCGAGTCACCTTCCCCTTCGTGGCCTGGTGTCTCCAGACCTCGGTCCAGACCCGCCCCTCAGGTCTCCAGGCCTCGCCTCGCGTGTCTTCTGTCTCTAGATGCCCTGACTACTTCCTCCCGCCCCAGTCTCCCCCTTCCTTTCAGGGGGTCACGATGAATCCAAGCCCCCAGGTCCCTGCGTATGAGGACCCTCGGCCGACGCACGCCCCAGCTGCCGTGCTCACCTGTGTCCAGGTGCTGACACGCCACCGGTAGGCGCAGTCGGCGGTGATGCAGGGGATGCTGGCCTGAGGCCGTACCAAAGCTACACAGGCCGCCCCGTCCACCTCGACGTCCTGGCCTTGATCGAACTGCACACAGGCCACGGAGCGCGTGGCGGTGCCAAGGCCACAGCTGGCTGAGCATGGGCCAAGGGACACGATTTTCCACCTGCGAGGACAGAAGACCCCAGGGTGCAGCCCCGAGCCCAGGAAGGGTGGGCCCTTCCCGTCCAGGGCTCGCGGATCCTCAGTTATGCAAGTGACAGGGACGGGGGAAGAGACGCCCTTGGATAAGGGAGAACACATCCCAACGTCGGTCGGTCCTGCCCGTGTCGACTTGTGATTAGCCTCAGCACCGCCTTGGCACCACTGACATCTGGGGCCGACGGCTCCGTCAGATGCGGTGCAGGAGGTTCACTCCACCCACTTGCCAGATGCCAGTGGCGACCCCCCTTCCCTGGTCACGGCCCTTAACGTGTGTCTGCACATCTGATTCGAAGGGGCACGGGCACCCCCACGTCTATAGCAGCGCTATCGACAATAGCCAAAGTCTGGAAAGAGCCCGAATGTCCACCGACGGGTGAATGGATAAAAATGTGATTTATATACACTTGCCAATGAAAAAGAATGGAATCTTGCCATTTGCAACAACGTAGATGGAAGTGGAGGGTATTGTGCCAAGGGAAATAAGTCAGAGAAAGACAAATATCGTAGGGCTTCGCTCATCTGTGGAATTTGAGAAACTTAACAGATGAACATAGGGGAAGGGAAGCAAAAGTAAGGTAAAAACAGAGAAGGAGGCAAACCACAAGAGACTCTTAAATACAGAGAACAAACTGAGGGGGGATGGGGATGGGAGATGCGGGGGGGGGGAATGGGTGATGGGCATGGAGGAGGGCACTTGTTGGGAGGAGCACTGGGTGTTATATGTAAGGAGTGAATCAAGGAAAGGAAAGGAAAGGAAGGAAAGGAGAAGAAAAGAGAAGAGAAGAGAAGAGAAGAGAAGAGAAGAGAAGAGAAGAGAAAAGAAAAAAGAAAAGAAAAGAAAAGAAAAGAGAAAAGAAAAGAAAAGAAAAAAGAAAAGAAAAGAAAAGAAAAGAAAAAAGAAAGGAAAAGAAAAAAGAAAAGAAAAGAAAAGAGAAAAGAAAAGAAAAGAAAAGAGAAAAGAAAAGAAAAGAAAAAAGAAAAGAAAAGAAAAAAGAAAAGAAAAGAAAAAGGAAAAGAAAAGAAAAAAGAAAAGAAAAGAAAAGAAAAAAGAAAAGAAAAGAAAAGAAAAAAGAAAAGAAAAAAGAAAAGAAAAAAGAAAAGAAACGAAAAGAAAAGAAAAGAGAAAAGAAAAGAAAAGAAAAAAGAAAAGAAAAGAAAAGAAAAGAAAAGAAAAAAGAAAAGAAAAGAAAAAAGAAAAGAAAAGAAAAGAAAAGAAAAGAAAAGAAAAAAGAAAAGAAAAGAAAAGAGAAAAGAAAAGAAAAGAA